TTGTAAAAACCTCACCAAAAAAAAAAAAAAAAAGATTGCAAGCGACTGCTCAAATGAACTTAAAATAAATGTCGAAATATATTATTTGTTTCTGGGTATGCCTTAGCCATCAGAACTTGCCAACTATGCCAGCATGTTCTTTTTGTAAGCTTGTTGGATCCCTGTCCTTGGTTTTTCCTAAGATATTCTTCCCTTAATTCTGAGGCTCTCAAACTTCTGAGTGGCCAAGAACGACCTCGAACTTGCTGGGGAAACATAGGCAAATCCTGCAGCAGTGAGTCCGACTGGGTCCTGGGGATGCCCACTTAAACAGGCCTTCCAGGTCAGTGGTCCCCAACTGTCCTGGCACCAAGGCCAGGCCTCGTGGAAGACAGTCTCTCCTTGGGGGGCAAGGGAGAAAGTTTGTCCCTGTACGACCCAAGTGCACCACACCCACCATGCGCCCCATTTTTACCACTAGCACATTGCAATACACCATGGACAATCACACGATCAATCCGGGCTCGCATATTAACCCGATTCCAAGCTGATCTGACAGGAGCAGAGCCCTGGCGCAGCGCTGCACGTGATGGGGCGTGGCTGTAAACACGCAACCACCCAGCTGTTCAGTGGGCAAAAGGCACACCAGACCACAGACTGGCACTGGTCCGTGGTCCAGGCTTGGGAACCCCTATTCTAGGCACTTAAGGACACCCCCTCTTCTCTTTGGAAACTACTGGCGTCATCCTCAGGGCCATCTGGTAAGAGAGTAGGGGTAAACTCTGTGGGCTCAAGGGACACAACTTTCCTGAAGTGTGAGGGACAACTCGAAGGCGTCCTCAGAGCACGATCACTCTCAATGAAGTGTGGATACAGAGTTAGAGAATTGGTCAAGTGTGGACTTAACAAATGCATTAACATCCAGTCTCATCCCAAGGAGGATCAGGGCATTCTGTGTCGTGCGCGTGTTTGGGCATCATTTTGAGACTCAAAAGCAATCGGATGGTCACGGAAGGAGAGTGAGGAAAAAAAACTAAAATTTCTGGAATTGATATGGCTAATGATATGATTTAACATCCAACAAGAACTAATATACTTCTTTTTTTTTTTTTTTTAGAGGTTTTTGCTATAGGGCACGTGCACTCGCCAGACAGAGAGAGAGAGACAGAGAGATAGAAAGCAAGAAATCACCCCCCAGGGGGGATGGCCACGCCGCAATCCCTTCTCCTCTATTCTGCACTCGGGATCTTGGGCACGCACGCACATGCGCCTGGCGTGAGTTTAAGCCACAGGGTACGGGACGCGAACCGTGTTTGACTACATGAGAGTCAGTGACATAACCATTACAACAACTGCTGGTCCCTACTTCTAACAGTGTTCAATAAAGTGTTTATTAGAAGTATGATATATATATACACACACACATATATGTATATACACATAATTGTTAGTAATTATTATTTTGCTACAGGGTGTGTGTACTCGCTGGAGAAAGAGAGAGAAACAGAGATGGAAGTGAGAATCGCCACACTGCAATCCCTTCTCCTCCATTCTCCCCTTGGGATTTTGGGCATGTATGCATATGTACCAGGCATGTTTTTCAAGCCACCAGGTCCAGGACTAGAACCAAACAGTTGGCCATGTGGGAGTCAGCAGCCTTAATAATCTTACTACCTGGCTGGCCCAGAAGTATGATATATATATTTTTAAAGCAGTTAAATTAAAAGAAATGGAGGCAATTTTTTTTTTCATATTTGAAAACATTGCAAACCTGACAAAATTTGACCTGAGAATTATCTAGATAGTAGGGGGAAGAGAAAGAAATGGTTTATTTTATAATAATGAGTTGATTTTAAAATTGCATTAAGTTGTCAAAAAAAAATATCAAATCAAACTGCTTTTTCCAATCCCTAAAGCAATTGTGTTTTCAAAATAAATGCAGAGAGTATCTTACGTTTGTTGTTAAAGATCTGTCTTCCACCCAGGTCGATAACTTTGGTTTGCCTCCTCTCTCCTGCCAGGTGCTCCAGTAAGAACCTGTCCAGCTCTTTGTAGGTGCTGTGGAAAACACAGCCTCGCCCGGCCTGCAGTGCTATGGCCTGCTCCAGCAGACTTAAGTTCCCCTTGGCCTTCTCCAGCTCACTCGAGTCTTCTGTCATCACTGCCAGGCTTTCGCCGTTTTCTTCATGGACCTCAGGGAAGGAAGGCTGGGCTTTGCCTTCTGGGGCTTCCATGGGAGCATTCTGAGGGTCCTTCCTTTCTGTTTCAGAGTCACATCTGTTCTCACAAGGGATAAACTTGTCGCCTTCAGCTTTTATTTCAGGGACTTCCAAGAGGTCTTTGTTACCCTCTGTCAACACAAACTTTGGGACTCTGTGTGTTTTGGTTTCATCGGAGGAGTTGGAACCGCTGTCCCAGCCATTGTCTGCACCATCCGAGTTACTCTCGTTGTCAGAGGAGGAGCAGAATGGAGGCTGGGAACCTTCGGTTTTGTCTCTTCCATCTTCAGAATGAATCATAAAGCAATCGTCTGCTTCGTCACTCTCCGCCTTTAGAGACTGAATGCCACTGTCATTTAAGTTTTCACTTGGGGTCTGAACAGACATATTTGTTTCTAATCTCCCCAAGTGCATTAAAGATTTGACCACAAGCTCTTGGTAACAAGCGTATCTGTCTTCCTTCCTGTGGGGCTTTTCTTGTGCAGTCGGGTGAAGTTTGTCGTCAGTAGCTTTCATCACAACTTCTTCTACGGAAAAAGAAAGCCAGTATTAGAAACAGAAGAACAAAATGATTTAAGGACATTGCACCAAGACATATATATTTATGTCCATATATTTATATGTATGTGTACATATATATACACATATTGACACATACACATATACATACATAAACATGTAAAATAAAAGAAAAATATCTTTAGAGCTTAATATACTAAGAATTGTCTTTAAAGAAATGAGCTATTATAACTTTTAGCATATTGTGTTTCTAGGGTACTAAACAAGAGAAGAAATAGCTACTTAACAATACGGGAGTGGTGAATGTGAAATTACTGCTAAAGTACACCTTCTGTTTCTAAGTCTTAGCCAACTAGAAGGAAATCAAATACACATTATATGTTGTAAAAATAAATTCACCAAATTGTCCTGATAGTCTAACAACATATTTCTAAAGCTTATTTATGTTCTCTACTGTCTATAGTGTCTCAGATATATGAGTGGACTTTGAAAATCCATGGACAAATGTAATTAAAGGACACATTTATTTTGGTGCAAAATAATTTGAAATCTGGGACCAGAAGTTAGTGTAATGGCTATGTCGCTGGACTCCCATGTAGCCAATCGTGGTTCGCGTCCCAGACCCAGTGGCTTAAACTCATGCCGGGCGTGTGTATGTGCCCAAGATCCCGAGAGGAGAATGGAGGAGAAGGGATTGCAGCATAGCCATCCCTCCTGGGGGGAGATTTCCCGCTTTCTGTCTCTGTCTCTCTCTGTCTGTCTGGCAAGTGCACGCGCCCTATAGCAAAAATCTCTCTCCCCCCAAAAATTGAAATCCATGCATAACTTTTTAATAATATTTTATGAACTCTTTGAAGATCCCTTAGATTTTCATATTTTTATAGAATATTAGCTAGAATATAAAACCCATCTATATAGAGATGATAACTAAAAGAATTCTACGGTTTTTAAGACTTCCTGCTTACTGTTCTTTTTTATTTTTAAGGTTTTTGCCATAGGACTTATGTGCTTGCCAGAGAGAGGGAAAGTGATATATTATCCCCCCAGAGGGGATGGCCACACCGCGATCCCTTCTCCTCTCAGGAGTTTGGGCACGCATACACATGCTCCTTGCATGATAGTCACAAGCTTCTGGGTTCAGGACTCGAACTGCAGTCAGTCATGTGGGAGTCCAGTACCTTAACCACCACCACCATACCACCTGTTGGCCCCCTTCTTTGCTTTCCTAATTATTACACTAACTCCACACTGAGGAAACACAAATGGAAGAACTAGCACTATCATACAATATCTTAAATAGTGCTGTGATGTAAATAATGGTTTGTCTTCCCAAGGTTTGTGTTCTGAAATCTGGTCCCCAGTGTAAAGGCACTGGGAAAAATACCTGTAAGAGTTGAGGTGTGCTGAGCAGTGTTTGGATCATGGAAGCACCCTCCTTAGGAATGGATTAATGCTCTCACAAGAGGGTGTGAGGTTTTGCATTTGGAGGAATGGTTAGTTCCCATGAGAGCGTGTTGTTATGGAAGTAAGAGCTGCTCTCAGGTCTCTGTCTCTGCACGCACCTGCTGACAGTCCTGCTTCCATCAGCCGTGTGTAACGGAGCACCAGGCAGCGGCTAGATGCTGGCCCCAAGCTCACAGACTTTCTAGTCACCAGAATCTTGAGCCTAGTAAAGTCCCTATTCTTTGTGAGTCGCCCAATCTGGGCTATCTCTGTTAGTTACACAGTAGTAGACTAAGACAATAACACATTTTCTGGTCTAAAATTGCATGAATCTGTGTAAAAAGGGAATGAGACAAGAGGTGGGAGTGGTTAGAGGAGGCTGAATGACAACTATTACTGTTAGTGAAGACCACCTTAAGTCGTGAACGCCAAGGCATCCCACGACCAAGAGCAACCCCAAGTGCCAGTCTGCCAAGACAGCCCAAGGAATGGTTGCTGTCGCAGGGTAGCTGACACTGTCACCCCTTCCCCATTCAGGAATGGCCCCCTTGGGATGACAGATTGCATGTATGTATGGTGAACTCACCCAAGCCTGTCCCAGGCAAGAACACCAAACGGAAGGTGTGGCTCACTGGTGACACCAGCCCTGGACTGGCATGTGGGGGGAAGCCCAGAGGCTCAGGCTGTGAAACGTACCACACAGCCGGCAGTGGTCCTGACATTGACTAGGACAAACGGGGGGGTGTTTCCGGGGCTCAGTGGCAGAGTGGGGGATGGGAACCACAAAATACTAAGCCCCTTAAAGACTGCTCAAGACACCAAGTGAAGTGCTTTCTGTGTTAATAAACATCTTTTGGGGGGAAGGAAGCCCAGCAGCCGGGGTGAGGCTGCAGGAGAGGGTGTCTGTGCAAAGACAATGTGCCTTTTTTCGTCTCATTTAATTTTTTATAAACATTGTCTCTGACAAGGACACTCAAAAATACATCTCCATCATCTTCCTTTCTGGTAATTATCTCCCTAAATCAACACTGGACTGCCAGGATCAAGTAAATATTGCCATAGTAACTAAAAGCATTTTTGGATGAAGGGAAGAATGTAGCCACAACACTAGCCCTGTAAATAATGCTGATTATAGGGTGCAGTCTTTTGTTGGGATCTATTCAACATAAACTGAAAAATTTAACATTTTAGTTCCTAGAAAAGAGGCTGGATAAACAAGCGTATAATATTGGACAGGATGGCCTATCCTCTCCTGAATTCCTATCAGAGGAACTCCAGGTTTAAATAATATATGGAGGATGGTCGAAAATGCAAATGAAGTTTTTCTCAATATCACGGTTGGCTATTAAGAGAAAGTGTAAAGGGTTATGATAATTTTAAAGTATTATGAACTACGGAAAACAAATAAAGAGCATTTTCAGTGAATATGCTCAATTCATTGAACTATTCTCTCACTCCACTTAACTACCCACATGTGTACAATAATGATTTATAGACATTATACCTAATTATGCATATTTGGGCTGTGTTAGAGTGCTAACAAAAGCTCTAGAAAGCAACAATTACCTCTGTTGCTTAGCTACATAGTTTAAAATATTCCTATTAAGTGCAGATCACCAGAGAGGCGGGAGTGACAGAAACGCACATGTGCACCACAATGCGTTTTGCTGTGCCGCTGCCAACTGCCAGCATTTTGGGTCATTTCCAGTTTACATAATTGTTTGGTTCAACTGTTTGTTATATGCTAAAAGAAAATATTTATTAATTATTCCTCAGAAAAAGAGGAGCCCTGCCGATAGAGGTGCCTCGGTGCGTTGGATGCGCTGGTTGCCGGGGACGTTCTGCAAACTCGCGACCAACTTTGCACGTTCCCACCTCCCCCTGGTGTTCACTGCAGTCTCCCAACCAAAAAAAAAAAAAAAAAAGAAAAACCTAAACAAAACATCAAACCCAAAA